CCAATAATTCATAACCTATATGAGGACAACAGTTGTGTGAATCTACCCTTGTCGTTCTGATTATTCTTTTTTTCTTTTTTTTGAGACGGAGTCTTGCTCTGTCACCAGGCTACAGTGCAGTGGCATGATCTTGGCTTATTGCAACCTCTGCCTCCCAGGTTCAAGAGATTCTCTGTCTCAGCTTCCTGAGTAGCTGGGACTACAGGCATGTGCCGCCATGCCCTGCTAATTTTGGTATTTTTAGTAGAGACGGGGTTTCACCATGTTGGCCAGGATGGTCTCAATTTCTTGACCTCATGATCTGCCCGCCTCAGCCTCCCAAAGTGTTGGGATTACAGGCGTGAGCCACTGCGCCTAGCCTCCTTCTGATTATTCTTATCTCAGGTCATCATGCTGATGGTGGAACTGAGGTCAGCTGCTCTTATACCAGAATTTCAGGAAGCCACTGTGAACTCCAAATGGAAACCTCAGTTTCATGCTGTCATTTACAAATGGATATTCAATGAATTATTTTCTATAATGAATTTTCAGAGAAATACCATTCAGATGATTTATGTATTTAATGCATCAGTAATACATGATTCTGAAAATTCTTTGAACTTGTAAGTTTGTTGACCTAAAAACATCATGGAAGAAGAATGATTTATCTCTGTTCAGTATTGTAAGAAAAGGTGTAAATTCAGTTAAACTCCTACATGGTTTTGGTTTTGAATGATGATATGGTTGGTAAAGAAAGATTACCATACAGAGGATGTGATTAAAAAATATATATCTGTAACAAAATGCCTTGTGAATTATGACCACTATTTAATATTTTGATATATTTTCACCCATTTTTTTTTTCTAGAGACTTGAATTATAATAACTTGGGGGAATTTCCTCAGGCTATTAAAGCCCTTCCTAGCCTAAAAGAGCTGTGAGTATTGCTTCATTCTCTTTATGTCTTCATATCCCTGAAACTCACCATTTAATGTTCCGACAATGAGATTTTAGCACATCTTGTTCCATTGCATATAATTGTAATACATGCACACAAACACACAAATAATCATACAATTGGATTGTGTTCGATGGCACAGACAATTTTGAGTATAGATTGCTGTATAGGGTTAGATGCTGGTAAAACAAGAAGGCCTGATATACAGTGTCTGCCTTTAAGGAGCTTGTAGTCTTAGTCTCACTGGGGAAACTGATCATGTTAAGACAGATAGCTGTTTCTAGGTAGAGATAAATGCTGAATGAATAGGATAAATAAATCATTCCAGAAGAATACCTAATTGAAGCTTGGAGTTACTGCAGAAAGCATCACCAAAGGGAAGGAGTTTGACTGAACTTGAAAGAATAAAAATGTTTAAACACAGGAATGAGGGAGCATTTTTGTTTTTGTTTCTTTCTTTTTGTTTGTTTGTTTGTTTGTTTGTTTGTTTTGAGACAGGGTCTCACTCTGTCGCCTAGGTTGGGGTGCCACGGTGCAGTGGCGTGATCACAGCTCACTGCAGCCTTGACCTCCCAGGCTCAGGTGATCCTCCCACCTTAGCTTCCTGGATAGCTGGGACTGCAGGCATGCACCACCATGCCCAGCTAATTTTTAAATTTTTTCTAGAGATAGGATTTCATCATGTTGCCCAGGCTGGTCTCAAACTCCTGGGCTCAAGTGATCCCCTCAGAGTGCTGGGATTACAGGCATGAGTCACTGTGCCCAGCCTGAGGGAACATTTTGGACGTTGGGTTTGTCATGGGTAGAGATAGTGACTGTATATGGCACAACAGGGACTGTGTGTCATGAGCTAGTTAATGGTTAACATTCTAAGATGCATTGCCAAGAGACTAAATACAGGCTACAGTGAGAGAGATTTGGAGGTTAGAACACCTGTTTCTCATGGTCTAAAGCTTTTTTCTATGATGAAGCAACAGATAAATGCATATGAGGGATCTGATAGATACCAGGCTAAGCAGTGGGTTAAAAAAGAATTAGGTATGATACTGAAAAAGATTAGATAAAATTAAAATTTGAGATTTCCTATGTTTTTGAAAATTTTCATGTAGTCATTATCAGTTGTATTTTATATAATGCTGAACTGCAGTAGATACTTGGATTTTATTTCACAAGAGGCTAATGCATTTCAAAATACTTTTCTCCTATCTTTCTAGAGGATTTCATAGTAATTCTATTTCTGTTATCCCTGATGGAGCATTTGATGGTAACCCACTCTTAAGAACTATGTAAGTATTTTTGAAAGTTTCTTTTAACGTATAATTATGTGAAGCTATGTCTTTACAATGCCAAACATCCAGATAAAGAATGAAAATTCAGACTTTTAGATATATGTACATTGTGAACATAGATTTAATATTAGATTGCTTGTGAACATATGAACATGTTACTTTTTTTGGGTATTTTCACAGACATTTGTATGATAATCCTCTATCTTATGTGGGGAACTCAGCATTTCACAATTTATCTGATCTTCATTCCCTGTAAGTATGTGAATTTAAAAACAAACCTGGATATTTATACAGTTGTTTTAGTGGAAAACAATAATTTGTTACTGGAACTCCAGAAAACAAAATCTTTAAAATTTTTTTCTCCCTTGGGCAGAATTTATAATGGTTCTTATTTTTGTGAACACTTGGCCACATTATCACACTTTCAAGTACATTCAAGAGATGAAACTAGTTTTATTTTTAGTTATAGTTGCACTGTAATTTTAAACTGTTTAAAAGATAAAATATGAAAAAAATTAAAATTACTTTGTCTTTCTCAATTTCTTAAAGAGTCATTCGTGGTGCAAGCATGGTGCAGCAGTTCCCCAATCTTACAGGAACCGCCCACCTGGAAAGTCTGTAAGTATGGCCCTTTGAAGAGGGCTTGTATAAAGATAACACTACTGGACTGCTAGCAGGGTGCCAGGGTCTGTTAGTGACAGTTTATGTTGATTCCTTCAGTTTCCCTTTGTATATTTCATGCATGGAAAAGAATATATTGGGTTTGGGGTCAGTGAGCTTAGACAGAGTAGAGCTGATTATGTGGATAAGATCTGAGAAGTTCACAGAAAATACAAAGCAGCAACAAAGTGGCAAATTAGAAGCAGTGCTTTCAGAATTTAGAAGTTGGAGCAATTGATGTAGACTATCACAGAAGGTTTCACGAAGGAGGTGGAATGTTTGAATACTGTCAGGTTTCCTAGAGCTGACTCTTTTATTTAAGGCAGGATTAGTAAAACTGGAAATACCAAAAGTATTCTCAGAGATGGCATATAGATGAGCAAATATAGCTAGAATTACATGTTTATAATAGGATGGGGGTGGTATGGAGACATCGGAGAATTGTTTGTGATTAGACTTTAAAATGACAGGCCTTGAACATTGGACATTTGGTTGTGGCAGTTTCCCAGTGAGTGGTCTGTGCATGGGTTTACAGGTGCACTTAAGATCTTGATGACCTCAGCCCTTCAGTCAGTCAGGTGGGGCCTGAGGCAGTTAGGGCCTCTAGCCACAGGAGTCTTACTTCAGCGTGCCATTTAAATGTTACAGTGGTCATATGTGACAAGATTTTTTTTAAAAAGAACTTGGGAAGCACTGAGGTAAGGAGTTTAAACTTGACTCTTAAGGCAGTTGGAGATGTTGAGAATGTTCGAGCAGGTAATGTGAGGAGGGTAAGGAGAAAGAGACTAGAGATGGGGAGAACAGTGAGGCAGCCGTGGGAATAGTCTGCCTGACCAGATGAACACACTGAATTATGAGAGCTCCAGATCTTTAATCCATCAGTGGATTTGCACCAGGACAAATAGTGTGGTCTGTCTGAGATTCCTCCATCCCTCTCTGCCTCACTTCACTCTTTTTCTGAAAGAATTAGATGCTAGAAACACAACAGAGGAAAAAATAACAGGAACTGGTGATAGACTAGAGAAGGGAGGGGAATAAGAGAACATTTGTAAATGCTGACCCAGGTTGACTGAAAGACAAGACAGAAACAAGGTTTGGGGGCAGAATGCAAGTTGGTTTCAAAGGTCTTGGGTGTAAGAAGGTGACAACTTGCAATTAACTGTGATCAGACTGTGTGACTGTAGATTAGTGTTTTCCTCCTGGTCCATGTGGAGAATCAAGCCCGTCATCTGGACAATATCAGCATCTAATGTCACAAGTGTTTTTGAGTTCCTGTGGACATGATATCACATTGGGGTTCAGTTCACCTTCCTGCATGTCTAACTTTATGGAATAATTAGGCCATGGGATATATAGAATCTAGTCCATATGTAAATATGTGAGCACTTTTTTTCTATCATTTTTCTATATGGAAATAAATTTTGCTTACTATTCTTGAGTTGAATTATTACATGAATAATGTTTTTCCACAGGACTTTGACAGGTACAAAGATAAGCAGCATACCTAATAATTTGTGTCAAGAACAAAAGATGCTTAGGACTTTGTAAGTTGGATTCTTCTTCCGTTCCCCTCATACCTTTTGTTTATATATTCACAGATGTTCAGTTTTATTTTTAAGGATCTACTTTCCATAAGGTGGTTTTGAGGTATAATTACTACTTAGTTGTTCCCTTTCTGTAAAGAAGCAGATATCTGAGTCATCTCCATGGTGGGTAATATGCATTTGAATTAGGTTTTAGGATTATGAATATATCATATACTTGTGACTTTATTTGAACAAAGTAAAACCAAGCTAGGTTCTTTCTTAATTTTTTCTCATCCTGACTCTTTGTCTTTATTCTAGTTTGTCCAGGGGTATATCTCCTTATATTCTCCTCTCTGTCATCTGCAACCTAAGCAGAGCCTAAATGTTTATTCAATCAGGAATGAACTAAAGCATGTAGCTTTCTAAAAACTTTAGGCTGACCTAGAAACTAAAAGTAAATAAAGGATGTAAAAATGTCACCAGAATAAACAATTAAGTTATTAAGTTGTTAATAAGTATTCAGTGGTGGGAGATAGTAACAAGATAAATGATTGATTAAGCAAGTAAAGTCACACATCCACTTAACAATAGGAATACATTCTAAGAAATGTGTCATGGGGCAATTTTGTCATTGTGTGAAAATCATAGAGTATGCTTACACAAACCTCGGTGGTTTCTTCTACATACCTGGGCTATATGTAATCTGTTGCTTCTAGCCTACAAACCTGTACAGCATAATACTGTACTGAATACTGTAGGCAATTGTAACACAATGGTAAATATTTGTATGTCTAAACATAGAAAAGTTGGAGCAGAAATATGGTATTATACTCTTATGGGACCATATCATTGTATATGGTGTCTGTCATTGACCAAAACTGTTATGTGGGTCATGACTATAATTTAGTGATGTAGTGGTGTATCAAACTTAAACACAATGATCACTGTTGAGGAAAAACTGCAGTGGGACTGAAAGTTGAATAGTTCTGGTGTTTGATGTAATATAAATGTTTTTTAAAATGTTGATAAGCATACCATTTCTCTTAGAGCTTTTCAATAAAAGAACATATAAGTTATTTATGGGATAAACAATATTGAAAAAATACAAATTTTTAAACTGTATAAATACAAATTTAAAAAAATGTAGCTTTACCAACAAATTTTATAAATTTTCTATATTTTTCTATATTTACATATTTAATTTTATATATTTATGTTATATACTTTATATATATACCTTATATAAATGTATTTTTACATATTTTATAGTGTCTATGCTCAAAAATATATTCTTGAACTTTCATCAGTCTTAGGCTTATTGTATCACAGAGGTATTTGAAAAGGTGACAAGTCTTAGGAAAAAATAATTGCTTTTCTTATTCAGGCATATCTCTTTATTAGTTATCTTAACTCTGCTTTCAATGCTTCTGAGTACCACTCTTTTAATATAATATTCTGATAACATAGCATTAATTTGTTAATTTCCGTTGTTTTAAGGGACTTGTCTTACAACAATATAAGAGACCTTCCAAGTTTTAATGGTTGCCATGCTCTGGAAGAAATGTGAGTTGGTCTTTGACTTACTCCTTTTGCTGTGGTATATTGTTAGTTTGTTGAGCATTTCCTATTTTTAATAGATGGCTTTAATAGTAAGAAATTAGAAATTCCTGTAATCAGATGTTCCCATACATAACATGTCAAATTGAACCAGATGTATTCATGTAACCAGCATGTATTAGGCACTTACCTATCAGGCATCCCATGAAACACTATGCGGGGGAAGTTGGTGTTTTTTAAAAGAAATAGAAAATGAAAACTTGTCCAGCTATTGAGGGAAACCAGACATGAATGCCAGTTCCCATCATGTCCTGTGTTGGACAGTTCTGGTGGAAGTTGGCTGGGAGACGGGAAGAGGGAGGCATTAATTCTCCCATTTTCACTCTATTTAGTCCTGTAACTTTATTCCTATGGTATTTGTCATAGTTGTGTTGTCTTTGTTCCTTTTCTCCCTGCATCATCTTCCTTCTGTTATGCTTGAGTGGGGTTGATGGGGGAGTTTAGATAGCATACCAATTAATTCCCAGTATAATATGGGATGAAATACCAATTAATCTCTTTCATTTTATAGATGAGAAAAGGGCAGTTCTCTTTCAACAAGATCACTGTTACATAATAGTTATTTAAACTTAGAAAAAACTCAACTAAGAAATGTTATAATGTTATTTTTCAAAATAGAACATAACTTTTTTCTCTCTCTATCCCTTTCTCTTTCCTCTTCCTCCTGCTCTCTTCTTCGTCTTTGTCTTCATCTTCATCTTCTTTCTTCTTCTTTTTTTCTTTAGTTCTTTACAGCGTAATCAGATCTACCAAATAAAGGAAGGCACCTTTCAAGGCCTGATATCTCTAAGGATTCTGTAAGTTTGTCTATGATTATTAAAGACAATAAGTTTTTTCCAAACTATGTTAGTATGTTGTTATGATTTCCATGTTACTAGATATACGTAAAGATATAATTTTAATTTCAGCCTGAACAACATGGTGAAACCCTATCTACTTAATATAAAAAATTAGCCAGGTGTGGTGGTGAATGCCTGTAATCCCAGTTACTTGGGAGGCTGAGGCAGGAGAATCGCTTGAACCCTGGAGGCAGAGGTTGCAGTGAGCTGAGAT